CATGGGGTCTAGGTTAGAGCAGAATTGATATTGTCTGAAGACATAGGGCTTTTCCGGGCTCGATTTTTTGTCAGTTGACCCTTTTTTTCAAGGGTTAATTTAATGTTATTACTGATTTATATACTGGCGTTTAACGATATATAAGCACCTTATAATAAATGCCGTGTAATCGTAACGCAAACTTCAAACGTACCGCAATAATAATCGGCAGTTAATTGTTATAAGACTGATAGCATTATTCTTCAGGGATGACATCTGCACTGTCTTCGAGCAGCCGTTTACATTCATATCTTATAAAATATCAACCAAGCCGAGTAATTTTCTACAGTGAAAATTGTAACTTCTGTAACAATTTGATCTTGCCTGTAAACTGGCATGCCTCATGTAACAAACTGTTATTTGAGAATGAATGATTATTATCATTATTATGTGACTACTTAATCTATAAGATCTTACGTGGAATCCCCATGATTTTTAACACTGACTTATCCTGTCGTGAACACCAGGAATATGATGTTCAGCGCTTCTGATGAACATATTTAGGCTGAAGATAGAATGATATATTTGAGTATGTGTAGGGTTACAATGCCAATACCACTACACCACTAACATACTAGAATCTGTGTGACGTTGGTTTGATACCAAATGGAGTGAGATTGTCGCGCCCTGGGTTACTCAGAGAACAACAAAAACCCTCCGGGTATTGGTAAGCTGAAAGATGAATCAAATGGTAGGCGGCAGAAACTGATCGGGAAATACATCTAATATTTTCAAAAAGTTTTGTTTCATTCACAACACGGTCAAAATGAAAATCTACGTGAATATTATTTAAGCGTTAAACAAAGTGGTGTTATCATAATGAATAACGATATAGTATAGTGATAATTTAACAAGTTACATTAGGATACATAACAGTAACCGTTAGATGATGACTTGGCATATGTCATTACAAGCAGTTTATGCTCATGAACAAAGAAACAATCAATATTGTAGATATGTTAATATCAGTATCACTTTGGTTCAATAAACAAAGTCATTTAATATTGGTATGCTGTCCGTATGAGTTGATTTCCAACCTCATTTTCATTAGTAGGCTTACTGAAGGAAAAAAAGCATAACCGTGGAGAGGAAGAATCCCAACTAGTGTTCCAGTTAGTTTGTTAAGTTTGATACGCGTTACTTAGTTACGGGGAGATTTTCTCGACCTCATCACCACTTAACAGTGGTAGAATTTAGTAAAACTACTAATACATATGAATTGTTATCAAAAATTATTTTAATACGTAAAAAGTGATAATTATGTGAGTTCTGGACAGATAGCCGACAGTAATTTATTAAATATGAATGCGTCCATGGGAGACATGCGCCAGACTATATGTTTTGCTGTACAATAAACTGAAGATACCACCAGTATTGTAGTTTGACAACTATTAATCAGTACCACCTTCTATAATCGAATCGTATCCCAACCAGTTAAAATCAGAAGTCGGAAGCGAAAAGCCTGGAAGATATATTCGATGCGTTATCAGTATATCGAGGAGTGGTTGATCTAATCTGGCTAGTGAACGTAGGAACTGTGTCTCACGCTGATCTGTAACGTGATCTTGAGCGGAATTATGACCGAACGCCTTCAGTTAAACAAATTCACTTAACGGCCGTTTCCAGGTTTTCCATGGTGGTCTAGCTTCAATTGACTCATGCTTTCATCTATGAAAAATATTAAATCTCCACAAAATCCCTTCTGATAAATTCACTTAAACTAATGTGGTCAGCATCCAATGTCGAACACTTAAAAGGCTATTGATTTTTGGGGATTATTTACAGCTACAAAGCAATTATTTATAGGGATATTTACCAGGTGATGGTGCAAACAAGTCAGTTGCAAGTATTGTGTTTGACATAGGGTAGAAATCAACTTATTTGAAAGAGTGATTATAAATTGTTGAAATCGACAAAGCCTTTGTGCCCCAAGTACAGGTGACATGGCGTTGTAAGATGTTTTCGGATAAATATGTATTTACATGATGATAAACAGTGAGTGATGTTCATGTGATTATCAGCGAGAACATAATTCGTAACCAAGGGGAGTACACTCCCAAATCATGTCTATGATAATGGCTTGAAATTTAGTCAGTGATGGGGTCAATTCGACAGTGTTTTCAGAAGATTTGCCCGACTGCTTATACTAATGATCTGCATGGATTGTTGTTTCGACAAACCTACAATTAGACTGGCAACGTTTAAAGACATTTACTGAACGAGAACGTGATGGAGAAACATTCTGAAATCATCTGTAGCGGATGAAGATAACGAGAAAAAAACACTTTATTAATAATTACTAGTCAATTTGTGGAGCGAGTTTGTGTTAATAGTTTCATTAATTTTATCGTACAAACCACATGATTGCCAAACAATGAAAATGCTTTATGACAATATCCTGAAATCTTTATGTATAAATAGTCATGGTGCTGAGTGGGAATTAACCAGTAGGAAATAGATAATGTTTATTTCAAATATAGTTTGTGCGCATAATCTTTACGTCAAATATACATTTCAAGGCACTAGGTGAGTCCGTTTTGTTTCCTATTATTAATTATATTGCAACTGGTGAAGCTCACGAAGAGGTGGAAACTATCATATACTTGGACAGCATAATCGATTAATAAGGAAGTTCTGATCGGTAAGTGAACTAAAGAATCGGCAATGCAAGAGCGACATTCTTACAATTGAGGAATATCTGAAACTCAACTATCAAAATTACTAGTCTCCATAAAACTCCCATTCTGATCACAGTCATCATGTGCTCATTAATGGCTGGATTCAAGATGATTTCCTGGAGTTCCGTAGAGAAGCCGTGACTGGTGGAGTCCAACATATGTCGGGTAGAGACAGTTACTTACCTCAGACAAAGGATGAATGGTTGTGAAAGATCATGGATCGATTGAAGTTAGATATTAGCACCGCTGGATGCCGGCTCAGTGGCCTATAGGTTAGATGTTTGCGCGCGAGAGGCAGATCAGAAAACTTGGTTCAGCTGATCAGAGGCAGAAGTGGATAACAGGGATAGAACTGAGCTATACCTGAACAGGAGAGCCCAGGACAGAGTTGGCTGGATATCCTTGGTCGTCAACCTATGCTCCAAGGAAGCCGACAAACATGAGATAAATCGGGTGCTGAACTATATATATATATAATGTATGTTGTGAAGCAATTGCGAACTATACAATTAGTAGGTATAAATAACAAGATCTGACTGGAGAATTTCAAATAAATTAAGCATTATGTAGATCCATTATATGTGAAAAAATTATATTTGAAATAGTCTCAGCGATTGAAATATAAATAATTCCAACGTTTCGTCCAGCTAACTTGTCTGGACTTCTTCAGGATTTTGATTATTTCCCTGAAGAAGTCCGGACAAGTTAGCTGGACGAAACGTTGGAATTATTTATATTTCAATCGCTGAGACTATTTCAAATATAATTTTTTCACATATAATGAATTCTCTATACTCGGCGCGCAATTATTGTCAAACTATTCGTTCTAACCTTGACGAATATTCGTATAAATTATGTAGATTGTTAACAAAAAGCATAATATTTCTATCATTACTAACTACACAGTTAATCAGCGGTTAGTACCTCGTTGCTGCGTCTTCATTTTGGTCCAAGACTAACCTCAATTAACTTCTGAGATATTCAGTGGAAACTGTGGGTTTGGATGTACTAATGCTGTAATGAAGAACGATCCAGACAAATGTTCCGAATAACAATTATGAGTGCATATATATAGGTGTGTTAGAAACCAGGGAAATGAACGATGAAGAACTTGTGGACAACAAATATATCAATACTAAAATAATGATACGGTTATAGCCGAAACTACAGAGACAACTGGTAAGATACAAATCTATAAATGCACAAAAAATAAGGGACGTTACTTAAATTGTATGTAGTAAACATATTCGAGATTTTGGCCTCGTAATCCACAATTGCCCTGGTACGGCCAAGAGTGGGGAGAGTCCACTCTCCCTCTCGAAATGCTCTCACATGGCCACGCGAATACATATTCTCTGCCATGGAAGTCCTACTAACTGCCTTCTCGTGGCAGGGGTGTTCTTTACAAAATTGAGAGGACGAAAAGCGAATGTCCGGCGCTTTAACCGGGTTAGTGGACACGGAAAGTCCACCTAGAGGAGTTGGGAAACCCTGATTCCAAACCAATGGTGCATATTGGCTCCAGTATCCTGACAGAACAAATGGCATATGAACCAATCGTTGGTCACCGACTACCATGGGACTGCATCTCCTCCACTGCCTTGTGGATCAGACCTTTCGGTCAAAGGCTCCGGGTGTGGCTCCCTAAGAAAACTACCTGCTTCTGTTTGGGCATCCAGGCAGTATTACAGCCCTCACACAAATCAAATGAGAGTTGTGTGGCGCATATGTATTTGGTGCCCCTTTGTACCAATATTTATGTGTTCAAATAGATAAAGGGCTTTATCACTCTCATACCGGACACAGTTCTCGGTGCACAAATTATAAATTATCAAGTCACGCTTGTTTCAATAATAATTGATGATTTGTTTAATAACATATTCCGGTAGGTATGTCATTTTAATTATGGTGTGTGATAACATGGGACGAGTGTAAATTCATGAATGATATTTTTTGTACACTCAAGACTGGTTTGAAAGTTGAAATATTAATGGTAAGGTTATAATAATGCTACGTGAGACATTGTACTGTTTAGACGAATGCATCCTCTGGGATTTCATTGTATTTACAACTTTTAATTATTCCTAAAGTTGCTATTGGAATCTGAAGATTTATTCAACGTTGAAGATGCTGTATATAAACTTATGAAATGAAATTAATAAGATATACGATTAAGTTGTGACTACAAATGTACGTAATCCACCTTCAAGCAATTCACCAAATGAAAATAAACTTAGAAGTATTGCTAACTGCATCGTATAGCTATCAAAACACAGTCATCCACAAGTATTCAGTTTACTTACAAAATTACGTGGCATTGTGTGCGCTCAGTATAAAGCGCATAATAATCATCTAGAATTTTACTACATAATACAATATGTATGCAATATGAATTCGTAGTATAAGTATTTCATGTCACCCTGGTAGTTTATTTAAAAAATATTTTGGAGACTGATAACTATTACCTAATAACGGACTATAAAATAAGAAATTAAACTACTTACAATGACTATTACGTAATTAGATTTTCTTTCACGAGAAGTAATATGTTGTTTCAATTTATTCGGAAATATACGACTTAAGACAAGGTCAGAAGACGGACAGGCATTGATTTATTCGACCATCACATATAGACTACTTACTAGTCTGCATTGGAGACTAACAAAGATGTTTCCACCGAAAAAAATTATTTGTAAACAATAAACATCGTCTTTGTTAGCATAACATCTATCTCAGATAAAAACTAACTTATCATAGAGGCTATATATCTTAATGTTTGGATTTACTTAATGGAAGGCTATATACTTCATTAGACTTACCCAGTTGACTGAAACTGATATCATTTAGTCAATCATATGGAAACATTATTAATACTAAGCTGTTAAAATCAGTATGTTAAGAAAGCAAACAGATAGTTTAGACAAAATTATGTTGGCAAAGACTTAAATGCATCATAATTATGAAAGAAGGGGAATGCTTCAAATAATATTAATGAAAACATTATTCTTACATTGTTATGACGATAAAAGTAAAAACTGAATTGTAGAACTAAGAAGAAATGGAAAAAGAGAACAGCAATAGAAAAGACATAAGCAGAGGAGAGTAAGGAAGCAGAAAGAAGGATAAAATATCAAGTATTTTCTTAGTACTTTATTTAACAAGCACGTTGAAAAAGTAATTCTACAAGGAAAGTAAATAAATCCCTAGGATCAAAAGAAAAGTGATCTAGGTACGTAAACTTCTGAATGGTAATCATAATCTCTGACTTGGTTTGTTCTTCGTACAAATGATACTTTTCTGGTAATTTGATCGTATCATATAGATTGCGAACAGTCTGTTGCGATTTAAGATCAGGTTTACCATAATTTGTCTACAGTTAGAAACATGTAAATAAGATGATTAAATGTACAGTTTTGACAGTTAGCAAAACAAAATAAATTCAGTCCTGTCATGTAAATTTAATAATAATAATAATAATAATAATAATAATAATAATAATAATAATAATAATAATAATAATAATGGTTTAAACAATGGTAAACGTACTCTTATCTACCACAACACAACACTCACATTTCATCTAATGTTTGACAGTAATACTTGTATACGTCAAAACCCAAGCATTTTACTCAATCTTGACAACTGAATAACTGGTGGTATATGTTATGACTCGATACGTGAATCGATATCATGTACTAAACTGTCCAATCAAAATTCCCATTACAGATTAGTTCACCTATACTCCCAATAGGACCAGTGACTTACTAATTACCAACCGACACACTGAAGAATGAACAACACCCAAGACCTTAATGTTTATTGACTGTCAAGCTCCTTCTAACCCAGTAACCAATTAGGAGACGCGTATGGGAAGTATGTTTATCATCTCTTGTGTTCAATTCAATCATGACTCAAAACTCATACAATAAAATACTTGAAATGCCTGACCACACAGAACAAAAAATAAGAAATCATATTTTAAACACAATTATGCCGTAATTGGTAGAGAGCAACGTAAATGGTGCATAATTAATTAGTAATAATTGAGAAATGGTAGGAGGCAAAATAATGGTTACTAGGTCCACTGGAAGCTCACAATAAGGAGAATATACATATACAACAATAAAAACATGAATAATAATTGGAAAACTAGTTCTGAAATTTACAACTTTTCCGATATTCGTACCAGTACAAAAGTATACGAATATCAAGATGAATGGAGTGATGAGTAGATTCTTATCATTTCCATTCAAAAGTTAGTGATGGATAGTTGTTTTTTGTTCACGTACAGACATTAAAATCATGAAAGACTAAAATCATACAACCCAGGTATTCAATAAAACAAGGTGATTGATTAAATTAGAAGTATATTGGTTCATGAATCGTGACGAAGAACATATGAATGGAACAACATATGATAAATTTACGATACTCAATGATAGACCACAAAGCATAGAAGGATTTCCAATTATAGTTTCTTAAATTTACTAAATGATTTCATTTGAATGTTTGAAGACAGGATATCTATGTACACAGTAAAAGTACTCAAACTAATGTGTGACAAAACGAATATTGCGTGTGACCTAATACAGCCTGCGCGAGAATAACTAAGAAATGAAAATATTTGTGAACGTAAAAATTACAACAAAATGCAATCTGACACGTGAACCACAGTAAAGATCAACGTTTTGAAAATGGAGTAAAGAAAGTTAATCGACTAACTAAGACCATTTCTGCAAAATTTGAATTAAAACTTCCAGGCGGTACACAACAATTTTAGATGGACTGAGTGTAGGTAAGCAGTATAATTTCACATGATTTTGGTAAAGCACCAGCTAGTTCAGAATTAAACTTAAAAACGAATAAAATGTTACCCGTCAAAGTAGGGACGAATAAGAGGAACAGTTGGAACAAAACTAGATATTGGTCAAATATCGTTTACACATAGAATAAGTCTTTGGAATAACAGTCTCAATCCCATTATGCATATATCGATGTCAAAAACTTTATAACTATTTTGGGATATACGTAGGTGTGTTGTACTGATACGGATCAATAAGCAAAATAATGATCGCTGCAGTTATCGATAGATCACGGGGACCTGCTTTTAGAGACGAGTGGAAGGAATATGGGTAACAGGCAGACGCAAACACAGCTGGGAAGTAAATTGTCAAAAATTCACAGGGAAAGACTAGTTTGATGCGTCAAAGTGAACCATATTCAAATATAATGTGAGTACGCATCACGCGTTTTGACAAGGCGACCCTAAATAAAGTTATAAAGAAAGCATTGGATGCTTAATGACTTGGTAATAAACGTGAATACTTCCAGTAATAATTAACGTTTATAATGAACAGAGATGTCGTACTCTTTTCCTTAACCTCAAGTATTCCAGATTTACAAGACGTATTGAGAATATTGATTAAATATGTAGCCACTGTGTATAAACATAACACTGAAAACAAGAAGACAAAATGGTGTACTAAAGCACAGAAAATATCCATAACCTTGTGTTTAACGGCGATGAAAACAAAAGCAGCACAAAGTAGTGATACGGTGGAAAAACGATAAATGTAAAGTTACAGTAAGTAGTGATCTGTTAGTAATTAATAGAAGTCTATTCGTACTCAATAACAAATTTTTATTGGGGATGATTTGTAAAGTAACACCTTCAAGCTTAAATGAAAGCGAACCATTTGTTATCGTCATTTATCTTTACAGGCGTACGTCTACATGTTAACTAATTAGCTAGACGTTCACCATTTTTCTTCTGGTGGATAGCTGTTGTGGTAGATTGAAGGCATTTAAAAGTAAATTTTGTGGAAGTTAAATTAACTTAAGAAGCAGTAGCTCAATTCCGTAGTTAACCTGATGAATATATTACAAAATAACATCAATAACAAGGTCTTTAGGAGATCATATTCAATATTCATAACAGACTTTATATCACTACACAGTCGGGTGTCTTTTACTTTGATGATTCATACTTCATAATAAAACGTAGCTGAGGGTGTATAACTAACATATAAGATATGTAATAATCCACAATAAGAAACATATCTACAATCATACAATAAAAAAGAGATAATGGTGGGGTGTAGCAATCCAAAAAATACACACTCAATTTATTTAGACGATAAGATAATGTTAAAATGAATGAAAATTCCTTTTACTTTAAGTATTTCATATTGTTCAGGTGAAAGGTATTTAAACGCTTCAACAATTAACCATGTACATTTGCCTTCGGCTATATCAGTTCCAACTTTTCCAGTAATTTCACTGTCACCAAAACAATCTAAATAGTCATCCTATTGTAAAATAACTTCAAAGAATTTTTGTTACCTGGGCTTGAAAGTAGTTACCCAATTTAAGGAGGATGTGTTGAACACTTTTGAAAATGTCATCTGTATCAACTTCAGCCTATTTATAAGAAAAAATTTAAAAGAAAACTGTATATAAAACAGAATGTCATCACTTCTTTGATGCTAACAAACAAGACGTAAGACAAGAAGTATAATCACCGTTTTTAATCGGTTTGATCAACTTAAATAATGAGTGAAAATAGATAGAACTTTGAAGGTGGCATTTATGAGATAATACAGAATATTTTTCTTCTGTGGCGAAGAATAAGGATCTCAGCTGCTCAGTATGCTGTTAATCTACTATGAACGTTCTAATAAGTTATGGGACTTCTTAATAGCAGTAATATGATGACCATTTATGATACGGGATCAAGGGTCCCTTATATGCTAATATCATAAAAAGGCGTAGTTCAGTGGTCAAAGCTTTTGACTCTCAGCCTCTGGTTTGCAGGTCTGAACGCCTCTCCACCTAATTCAGTTTGAGCAGCTAGGTAGCTTTACTAGTCTTCAGACGTAGAATGGGACTCAAAACGAAAGACAAGAATCTGTGGTTGGTAAGTTGAGTTGAATAAGTGGGAAATTTAAGTGATATAGCATAAAACCAGTCTTATTGGCTTAGATGCATTTAGTCTTCATAAGTACGAAGGCCAGATAACAGTGATGATCACAAACAAGGACTTTGTTAGAACCAAAACAAATTTTAAAAAACTTTGGTCGTTGTATACGGTATATTACACAAATGTTTTTAATACGAAAGTTATTCAGTCTAACATTTGATGTACGAAGGAAAAATGTACATTTTCCAGTTTAAAATCTTTAATAGAAAAAAGATGATGAAAAATGAAACGGAAATAATTAAATTAACTTACTAAAATCATTCCACACGCTACAGGTAGATAAAAAGTATAAAAACCCGTCTTCCAGTGTGTTATAGCTTCAAAGACATCAGGTGAGTAGTTTCGAGTAAAACTATCAAACTCCAAATTATTCTGTTTTCTGTCCAAAATACATTGGTTATTAGGATTTGATGATAGTACATCCAAACATTGACCAGAACATGTCTTGTAACTAATTTCATCAAACAACTTGCATAATTTGAGATATACGTTATTTTTGTCTTTCCACGAATATGAATCAACATCACTTTGATTTTCAGCAAATAATGAGTGGATCAAGTATTTCGATGATAAAATCAGATGTAAACCATCATTAACTCCAATTAATCCACGGTTTGAATCTATTTGAGTACAATGCCAACACGGTTGGCCTCGTCTAAGGGTGGAATTGTCAATTATATCATCCAAAACAAGAAATCCTGCGTGTAACTAGAGCATAGACAAAACAAGGAACTTCAAGTCATTGGATAGAAAACAGTCAGTCGATTTTAACGCGATTATGGACTGCTGTAAAACCTAAAGCTGCTTAGAAATGGGGTCCACTGACCAGCCTATTGTCAACTTTTGAGAATGGTTGTCAGTATGTATACGCTACCATTTTAATAGCTACATATAGGACTTTCGGATATATATCATCATCAACGTATGACCCATAGTCTGGTGCCGATGATTATCATTAAGTGGACCATCAATCTGCGACACAACGACATATGAGGGAATAAGTGCTACTAAGGTTGCATAATACTATGTTTGTTTCCTCAGAAGTTAAAACTTCTTACTCTAGCATTTATGGCTCTTTTTAGTGACATAATGTACCAGAAGGTTTATGTGTTATGAATTATTATTTGAACACATAAATATTGGTACAAAGAGGAACCAGATATATATGCGCCACACAAATCTCATTTGATTTGTGTGAGGGCTGTGATACTGCTCGGATGCCCTAATCGAAGCAGGTGACTTTCTTAGGGGGCCATACCCAGAGCCTTTGACCTAAAGATCTTATCCACAAGGCAGTGGAACATTGTAAGGAGATGCAGTCCCATGGTAGTCGGTGACCAACGATTAGTTCATATACCATTTGTTCCTTCAAGATACCTGAGCCCATGTGGACCATTGGTTTGGAATCAGGGTTTTTCAACTCCCCTAGAAATAAATTCTAATCCAAATGGATCACCTGAAACTAATCAACCTTCAACTTGAGAACGAAACCAAATTTAAAAGGCTAAGAATACTAGGATAACATTAAGGTGGTTGAGAGCCCCAGTAACTGAAATATACCTTACTAGTCCGAAAATCCAATAACTTCATCAAAGAATTTAAGAGCATTGAGTTCAATCTTGTGGGGAAAGGTACATAATACATAGCTCTATTGGTACATAGATTAACAATATGACCGTAATTTTCACGGATGTTTTGAATAATATCAGGATATAAGGAAAATTAACCTGGAAAAGAGTCGATTGGGGGAACTAAAATATTTACCAATTCGACACACCAACCAATAAGATAAACACATGACAAGTTTTTTCTAGAGTTCTCATTTTTATTGCTGAACACCATATACGAAAGGACAACCAACACTCCTCGAATTCGTTTGCCACTGGATAAATTATACGACGTTACCTGAAAAAAGATGAGATTAAAACAAGGGTGATGTCATAAGATGATTAAAAAAAGAACGGTATTAAGATCAAATTACCTTCTGGAAAAAGCATTGATTTGAAATATATTACGTCAAAAATTTGTTATTTATAAGGAATAATGTAGGACATGTTTTTAGGATTGCACATCCTAGAATAACGAAATCAGTCTGCACTTGTGAAGTCATAAATGAGTACCTGAGTGCACTCTAGAAAAACACTGAATATCCCTATTAACTAAACATTGATTAAGTTGGTTGATGAAATACTTTATATAGTTGCTTGATGGATGCTTATTAAAATATACCCTATTGACTAAACGGAGTACTTATTATTCATGTTCTAACTAGTAATAATAAGTACTGCATTTAATTAACAAGGTACTTCATCAACCAATGTAATTAATCTTTAGTTAACAGGGGTATTCAGTGTTTTTCTGGAGTGCACATCACTTTAGCTCGACCGCTGCTGCTACCTTGACGTGGTGATCAAGCGTGCCTATTGTGACAAACCAATCGGTCTATACTGGCTGGAACAATCGTTCCTCAAAGTCCTACCATGCCAGACAGGTTGGTTGAAGAGCAGTTAGACTAAAAGCAACAAACCCAAGGTCCGAAGGCAAGGTCGTACTGCTGACTGTAGAGGTGTGACGGCAGTAAGGTGTTTCTCTCAAACAACCGGCATAACAGCGATGCTGCCTTCCCACAAGGAGGGGTGGGGTTAGAGAAGGTCGACCCTAAAATTGCACACTTCGCCTTATCCCATGGATATCCGTATACATTGGTGAGGTCTCAATAAGTACGGAGTTAACACAAAAATTACCCACAAAAAGTCATGTGACCGACCTCAAGCAGTTGTTCATTTGGCACTGCGGTTATGCTCTCAGATCACTACGATCAGCTTTAACCTAGTTTCCTTTTCAGGTAACTCTAGAACCACCCATCCACGGTGTAAACAACCGGGAATTGATAAACGCCCTTATACTTCTAACAACACTCAAGACCAATATATTCATAACCAATTTCCCCCTCCAATTTCTATTATTTCTCCTACCTCGACTATCAACCATAACCTTCCTACTCAAATATCATCATGGTCAACGATTCTAGTGCGCGAAATACTGTCCCAGATCTATTGAAATCATGCTCCAAAATACACATTGGAGCCTTCAACGTACATACTATTTATCAAATCTACTAGAGAGTCTCCTTGGCTAAGACCCTACAATCTTGTATCATTAATGTTGTAGTGGCTGGTACCATGTCAAGCCCATACCGGCTATTCTAGACTCAAAACAGACCGATTTATTCAGTTTTCTTGAGTCACATCTTGACCTTGTCAATTATTCGCTTATTAACCTTTACTATTTTTATATGAACGTGTGTCAATCCCTTACTCTATTCACCACATATCTGTAACCTACTTTTGTTTGACTATAAATAACGAATCACGCTTGGTTAAATGGAGCTGGCTCACATGCCTTCTCCCATTCGTTTCGCTCTAGCTTCTCCGCTTTTTTCGCTTTGTTTCTCTGATAGTCTGTCTGGATCGATGATTTTATGAAATATACGTATTCGAAATTCATTCTCATATTTGACTTATTTAATTCCGTCATTCGCTACCGCGACCTAAGTTGATAATTATATACAAAGACTGGCAGCATGTATAATTCAACAACAATTATTCATACAATCGAACTGGAGTCTTATACAGGGCAACTAAATTGTATACTCTGTCTCCGAAACACGCATAAAGGATCCTAGTGTGGTCATTTACTTGACCTCGCCTAACCAAACGGGGAAACCGACGAGATACTCTCTGTTCATCTGGCAACCCGATGGCTAGTTCTCATGGACTGGCGGGTGTAGGCATAGCACTGAGTATGAGGGAAGGAGAAGCACTTTTAGAAGGGATACCTGTTAACAATCGCCTGTGCTGTTCGGCTAAACGGCTCCGTAAGAACTCGGAAAAATAGGGACACACGTCGTTGCCTTTTCGTCATTTCTGCCTACGCTCCCATTGACCGCAACCCGGGTGAAACAAAAGATGAAACTTATAGGTTGACTAACTATTTTAGCTTAAATCTGGAAACTGGACGTATTTCCATCTGACTGCTCTCAATCACTGACCGTCCAAATGCATAAGAAAGGATTAAAATTATCCTGTGATAATCATAGAGGGATTAGCTTGACTAATATGGTGTCTAAGATATTAGTTTCAGTGATTATCGGACGCTTAACAAAGACTCGTGAACTGCAAACACGGGAAAGTCAGGCTAGCTTTAGACCTGATAGCAACTGCATTGACATGTGCACCATTCGTCAGATTTTAGAACGCAGGCATGCTTATCGGCATCCGAAAATGATGGAAGAAATTTAGGGGCGGCCAAACCAAAACGTAGCATCCATAAAGTCACTAACTTCCAGTCTGAGCCACGCTACTTGGTTTGGGTCCGTGTGACTATCGTAACTAATTGTTGATTCTGGGTGACATGGCTCGGAATCGATCACAATGGCATAAGTGTATAGACTTTGTCTCCCCCCCCCAAACCGTGAGATTAGAATTACTTTCTACGAAACAATTCTTTTTGCCTGTATCATATATTTATATGCAATCTTTATTTAGATATATTACTACCACCGAAGTAACTGCTTCTGTGAATTTGGTGTCCATCTTGTTGTGCTAATGAATTATGGAAACTTGGACTGATGCATATATGTGCCTGGGCCCTACGTCGTACATGACTGACCGATGTTCTAACTAGATTGGTCGATATTTTTACAAAAAATCTCTATGCATAAGACATATGAAGCGTTTTTGATCAATGTAAGATACTCTTTATTAATAGTATGGAGTAAAGACCCTAGCAAGCAGTGCACATTATTCAAACGTGATTTAAGTAGCCCTTTTTTGTACTCATGCCTGGAGTTAATTGACCAACGTCATTTTTGTTATGGAACCGGCAGTTCAGCTTATGAGAAATCTCATGTAAGCGATTCATGTATACCACAAAATTTAATTCAAATGTGAATATCAACATCAAAAGCTATGCAATGATATGATGACAAATAATGTGATGTCTGACTTGAGAAAGGCCTCTTAGAAAATATACTTATCCTCAGGACTCGCAAAGGAGCTTCGAAAGAATCCAAATTACTACTCATTCTTCAACGAGATATTCCCAGTTAAATTTGTAATTTTTCATTATGACATTTTGTGTATCTATTCTTATGTACATTGTCTAAAGGGTCTCAGTATTTCATACAAATATCTCGAATAATGGTACATATAATCGGTAATTTTTGATCCTTCATTAACCTAATGTAAATAAGCAAGGTAACTTACGATAACGTGAGATATATTTAGTGACATAATTAGAACGAATTAGAATGGGTCATTCTGTTGCCTAAACAGTGGAAAAAATCCTGGCAAGATAACCTGTGAGATTGGAGGTCTTGGTAAAGCCTAATGTGCTTATAAAAGAATATAAACAGGCACACAGACAGACAGTAAAATCGAAGAACTTTGTGCGTACGTACGTCAGTTCAAGTTGCCATTTATTTATTTTTATTTATTTGAACACAAAAATATTGGCACGAAAGGGCACCAGACACGGTTAAAGCGCCGGACATTCGCCTTTCGTCCTCTTCTTTTCGTAAACAACACCCCCGCCACGAGAAGGCAGTGAGTAGGACTTCCCTGGCAGAGACTATATACGCGTGGCCATATGAGAGCATTTCGAAAGGGAGAGCGAACTCTCCCCACTCTCGGCCGTACCAGGGCAGTAATCGGAAAGATAAGGGTTTGAAGATGTTATTCAAGGGGTATAATCCAGTGAAATAAATTTGAAGAGAAAAAAGGATATGAAGAATTCAGAAGATTAGAATTTGGTAGAACACAAAGAGTGGATGCACCTTCGCCATTGCAAACGATTTTGAGCCATGTCATTCAAGGTCTCTAACCACCGGTTGCTATCACCTCGCGGATCCCAACCAGATAGTCTACACCTACCAACATGGTTCCGTCCACTTGTCAGTGACTTCGTGGATTTGTGCCACGTTTTGGTCTGGCCACCCCTAGCTTTCTTCCAACCTACTCCTACACCATAAAACATCACTCGTCGGGGCAGTCGGTGGTTGGGCATACGTAATACGTGTCCCAGCCACCTCAACTGATGGAGGTTCACAACTTTATCAATTGATTTGCCATCCTTACCTAATATCCGTTTCCTAACAATTGGATTACTTACTCGGTGGTCCCAGGATGTATGAGCAATGCTTCGAATACTAATAGCCTACAAATATCATCTACTCTTACCGACCGTGTTTCACAGCCATAAACTAGGACGGAACGAACTGTTATCAAAGAATAAGCGAAAAAATGAGCACTTACATTTTGGAAATGTTGTTCGGCCAATTCAAGACTTTTTGGATGAACATGACGTAACAGACTGACGAATGTATTGAAGTAATTTTCAAAGTTTTCTTTAACTTCCCGATATTTAATATGTATATCAGAGGTTGGCATTACGTGTCTTTATAATTCTATCAAGTCAAAAAAATTTCCAAAATTGACACTTTATTCAAGTTAAGAGCGAATTAACAACAAAATGTGACTGAACGAACACGTAATACACAATTTTAACATGAAATTGGGATTATGTTACCCAAGCTCACTAGTTGCTTTGTTCTGAACGCTTACCAATAAAACTAAAGTGTAGGATGTTCTTGGTGTCTTATGGAACTGCCCTAAAAGAGGTTGAAAAATATACAAATTGAATGAGATATTCCATGTAAACCGCGCTCTGTATGTTGCTTCTTAACAAGTGTTTTCAGTACTTATTGATCAGCTGATACTTATCCAAAGCGATGTCCAAAACGGGCCCAGAGCACCTGGGTGCAAAATATCACTCGATTTTGTATACCCACTTCCAACCCACTTTAGAGAAGGTACTCTGATTTGAGGAATGAATATATTACCTGCAGACATCTAACACGTCCTCTAGTGCAAACTATCAATGAACACAATTAAGGGGGATTTATGGATGGATGTACATTTGGTAGTCATTCTGTTAAAAAAAAGCTGATAAGTTTCCGTAAGTGTAAGCTCGCACATCTGTTAGCTGAGGTGCAGTATAGTCAAAAAACAGAGCTATGTATGACAAACCAGGTAATCCTGAGTATTAGTAACGTATTACTGTAGCTAAAAAATTTCATGTGTGCTTTCAAACCCAGTATTCGTTATCTATTGCTATTTCTGACTTAATGCCTTAAAGCTTCGAGGATTTTCTCCAAAGCTAGAAATAATTTGGGGGAGGGGTTGTACCATTTTCCAGATATTTTTTATTGCCGCTTCCTCAAAATCCACCCAATACGGGCAAAACTTTCCCTGAAATAAGGAGATCGAGTTACTGACACTAACTAGAGGTATGAGGAATATTTCTTAGATCTCGTAGATTCCATGGGTTGGATATGCAAGAGTGTTTACAAATGAATTTTATTTACAAAATATACTATCCTAAGGTATAGCACAGATAGCGAAAATACCATAATAAATAGATTAAATAGAATAATTAAAAGCAGATTAAAATTATGAATGTGCAAGAACGTCCACAAAATGCTAACTTGCTTAAAAAAAGATTTGATAGGCCGTTCCTGTCATTTAAAAGTAAACAAATTACTATTGAGTTAGCAATACACAACTCCATCAGTTGGCTGGAATTGCCAGTGGAGTTTATACTCCGATAATATATGTGTAAATCCCCAGATCAATTAGTTTTTAACTAACTGCAGCTGCACAATTAAAGGTATTAGTCCAAGCAATCAGTCAATAATTCCAAACCGAAGATCGCTCCTACCTTAGCGTGTTATTGATGTTACGACACCTTTGAATCCGTACTTCAATTACTTGATGCTTCGAAGTGCAGCATTGTCTAGAGGAACGATTTCTAGGCATATAGCTAAGCTGAAAAAGCAAGAAAACTTTATCTACTTAAAAATTCGCTATAGCATCATTGGGTGTACAGATACCATAGATATTCAGAGTTGACGACGATTTCGTCCGTGACAACTTTACAATTGAATAATCTCATACTCATACAGATCGGAATTCAGGGATGAATGAGTTCGAAGATATATTTAAAGTATTCTATATGTAGAGAAGCGTCTGATCTAAGCTGGCTAGTAGTTGTGAAGAGTGTGTAGTACGGCGTACTCGTTCATGATCTGATGAGGATGCGTGACCTAAAGCATTTAGCGAGGTTGTGTCCAGCAAAACTAAAGAGGTCGGAATAAGTTCCGGAAACTTACAGAACTGCCTATCCTATGGATTTGTTTACCGCTACAAGTGCTTCAGGTCCTTCTAAGTCCGTTCGTTCGGTTATGTACTCACAGATAGCTTATTTCAGCTTCGGGTTTAATTTTATAAATTTAGAGGTAATCAGATCAACACACTTTACCTCAGCTTCTAGTTAATATCTTGATAGTCCAGTGAGTGATCTCACCATAACCGTAAGTCCCAAAATGAGTAGCTAGAATCAAGTAACTAGTATCACTTTCTTATATTAAAAGGACTTAACTAAAAAAAGGTTCATAGTCGAACCCTTTGCCATTGCCTCTGTATTTTTCAAACTTGTTCACATCTCTTTTCTTTGATATCTTGATAATGTGTCCTTCCTTTCAGTCCATTGGCACTTGTCCCTCCTTCCAAATCTCCCTAAATAGAACGTGGAGCATACTTTCAGTTACTTCTATGTCTGACTTCAGAGCTTGCACTGGCATATTGTCAGGTCTAGATGCTTTCCCACACTTGGTTTGTCTGAAGGCTATCTAGATTTCTTCCTTCGTTGGTGAACTGACGGCTATAGAAAGGCTGGGTGTGTTGCTTCGATATCCGGTGGATGCAGTGAGGCTGGCCTATTCGAGAGTTCCTCAAGGTACTCTACCCATCTGTTCCTCTGTCCTTGAATTTTAGTGATTGTCCTACCTTATTTGTCCTTCACTGGCCTCTCCGTTTTGCCATATTTCCTTGCCAGTTTCTTCGTTGCGTCATATAGTTGTCTCATATTTCCTTGTCTTGCAGCCTTTTCCACTGTCGTTGCTAGGTTTTCCACATATTTCTGCTTGTCGGCCCTAGTGCTCCTCTTCACTTGCATGTTTGCTTCTGTGTTCAGTTTGAGCCTTGACTTTCTCTGCTCTTGTTTGGTTGTTGTTAATCTCTGTCTTCCTTTCTTGAATCTCACCCAGGGTTTCGATAGAGATCCATCCCTTATGATGATGTATGTTGCGGTGCAGAACCTCTTGACACGTTGAAGTTAGTACTTCCACATTTATCTTTACTTGTATAATAACAGATCTAATCCTTAAATTGTAGATTCGTCATGATGTAACTACCTTATCTATAAGATCTCATATGGAAGTCACATCATGCTCTCAACTGACTCGTTTTGCCTTGACAATCAGCAATATGACGTCTAACACTGCTGACGATACATTTGAGCCGGGTAGAGAGTGCTACATTCAATTCAATAGGTTTTACTTAGTGACCACGCTTGCGGGGTCGAGTTTCGCTATTTCGATTCATCGCTCCCGTATTCACTAATACTGATTTTCTCTCTGCTAGATACTGGATGTGACTTTTCTCAGTTATCTTATATTGAGCCCCGAGTATCGTGTGGTTAGAACCAATACCATTACTCTACTCCCGCACCAGAATCAGTGTGACGTTGGTTTGATACCGAATCGAGTGGGATTTTTGCGCTATGGAGGCTACCTAAAAAATTGGCAAACTGAAAAACAAATCAAAAGGTAGGCGGTAGCAACTGACCAGGAAATACATGTGATAATCTCAAAATGCTTGATTTAATTCTCAACACGCCCAAAATGAAAACCCACGTGAAGATTATTTAGAAGTTAAACAAAATGGGATCATAATAATGAAGTATGATTTAGTATAGTGATATTATAACAGGTCACTTTAAGACGCGCAGCGGTAACCGTTGATTAGTAGCTTAACTTATGGCCAGTATAAGTATTCTGTGCTTAAAAATGAAGTAAAATCAGTATTGTAGAAGTGCTGATGTTGGTATTATCTTTGGTTTAAATTAGGAAGTCATTTTATGTTCATGTTGGTATGTTGTCCTTATGAGTTGATTTTCAGTTTCATTTGTATTACCGAATTTTTTTTAATTTTACCTTCACACATTGTGATATTATTCTCAGAATTTCGGATAATTTTTTCTCGTCCACTAGTATAAATATCTTCATCTTAATAAAACAGATACCCAAGTTACTTAAGATTTGACCTCTTTCGTTTCCCTCATTTCAGCTAACGCCATTCTGACCCGACAGCATCCAAGTTTGGCTCTGCTACGAAAAGGCTGACTTCCACGAGCACGGTGTGACGGACCCGCATGCACAGTTCCTCACAGTAGTGAAGGCACTACCACGCGATTTCAACAGGTTTGTCACACCTACTATGTTTACTAGTGATGTTTCGCAACTTTACGAAACTTTAAAAAGGCTTCTATTAAACGTGAAAACCTGACCGACCAAAAACAGGTTATACCAACTCTTCCACAACATAGTCCTGCAACAGGACTCAGTAACAGAAATGCTGCTACGAATGCGAGGGTTTACCGATCGACGGGCCATGGACGAGGACCTGTTTAAACAACTGTTGTCAAAGCTTCCCCAACAGGTGTGGGAAGTGTTTGTCTCATTTGAAAACAACTCTGTGGACGAACAAGATGCATCTGTCAACCGTATCCTGGAGATCGCCAGGACTCCCAGCTCCGAGGTCTATTTAGTCAAAGAAAAGCCTCAACTGACGCGAATTGACGTCACAGCCCTCTGTCATACTCTGACACGTAAATGCTCTCAAACTTATCGGAGTTCTTTACGAAAACGATCCGTCCCCAGATCACGAAAGACAGGTGACCATTATTGGTTCTGGTACCGTAATAAGTATAATAAGTCCTCTGGAAATTGCAAAAACCTCTGCCGTTTTCAGAATTCCAAACCATCCGGCGCGAAAAATGCTCCCCGCCCGCATTCGTCAACGGCAACCATATCCAGCGAATATAGCCGTCTGTTATACATCACCAACGTGAAGAAAAAAGTTCGTTACCCTGTGTACACTGATGTAAAGGTTGGCGTTCTTCCGGCAATTTCCGACGATCGACTTCACGAACCAGTTTCTAGCTTACAGGTTGAGAATGGGAAATCATTTGCCACATATGCTAGGTTATGTTTATATTAACGTGGGTCTACGCGAACCCATTCATTAGATTTTCGTTGTTTCAGATTTTTCTATCTCATTCACTAGTACAGACCTGCTAAAACATCATAATCTATTTATCGGCACGTTCAAACGTTGGTTAGTAGACATAAATACTAATCTGTTTGCGTAAATTCCTTTTCCGCCTGTCGATTGTCCCCAGTCACTGTTAAGCACATAATTGATCCATAATACCAACAAATACCCTATAAATACCCCAAACTATGTCAATCGAAAAATAATTACCGTGTGTAACCAGTGATGTTACCCATCACATCACGACTACAGGTTCACCTGTATTCTCGAAAGCACGCCGACTGGCTCCCGAAAAGCTGAGGTTGGCCAAAAACGAATTGGACCACATGATAGAGTTAGGAATCATTCGACCGTCAAACAGCCCATAGGTATCTCGCACGCACATAGTACCTAAAATGTACAGCAGTGGTTGGCGTCCAACTGGTGACTATCGGTGATTGAACGCAATAACCATTCCTGATCGTTACCCGTCACCTCACACACACGATTTCACAGCCACCTTGAAATGTACGACTGTTTTTTTTCGAACATCGACTTGGTTAAAATATACAACTGAATTCCTGGGGCTGCTGACGACATTCATAAAACCACTATCACGACACTTTTCGGTCTCTATGGGTTAGTGCACATGCTTTTCAGTCTAAGAAATGCTGCACAAACTTTTCAAAGATTCATCGGTGACGTTTTTTAAAGTCCCAACTTCGTACACATGAATGTAGATGACTGGACAGAAAATCGAATCTCCAGTATTTGGACTTTGTTTTCGAAGAACTCCAAAAAACAAGGTATCACTGCGAAAATTCGGAAGAATCAAGTCACTGACTCTCTAAATTTTCTCGGAAATACTATTGATGCTCAAGGCATCCGACCTCTAAAAAGTAAAGTGACAGCCATTCTGGATCACCCAGAACCGACCACAGTCAAGCAAATACGCACGTTCAACGACCTGATAAGTTTCTACAGACAGTTCATACTAAATTATGCGTGTCTCATGAGACCCTTAACCGACCAACTTTGTGGAAATGCGAAACTAATCGATTTGGACAATGCAAAGAAAGCATTCTTCACAGTTAAGGAGCCTATCGCAAAGACGACTGTGCTCGCACATCAGGACACAGAAGCACCCATTAGTATCTCGGCAGATGTATATCACCCGGCAATCGGAGGAGTCTTACAACAATAGGTAAGCAACACCCGACAACCGTTAACATTCCTCTCAAGACCATACCAAGACACTGAATCGAAGTATAGAACTATCTGTAGGAAACTCCTAGCCATGTATTGCGATGTACAGCACTTTCAGCACTGTAGAAAGCCGAGAATTCACTCTGTCCACTGGCCACAAACCTCCCACCCTCTCTCTATTCTCGACTTCCGACCAGTAATCCCCTCGTGGATCTCGACAACTGGACTACATTCTGCAGTTTACTTCAGATATACAATACATTTTTGAGGCAACCAATGTAGTTGCAGACGCTTTGTCTCGTCTAACTCCCTTAAACAGTTTCCTAGTAATCGACCTTCTTAAAATTGCCCAGCTTAGATAAGAAGATACTGATCTTCAGCACGAGTTATCTCCCACAACCCTGAAATTACGGATCAAAGAGATGGAATCAGGCAAGGTAACATTATCGACGTAACGTCGTTAATAAGTTGCACAAACGTTCTCATCCAGGCGTTAGTACAACCATTAGGTTTAACACAGAACGGTTTTGTTTGCCTGGTATGAAGAGAAACGTGAGGGAGTAGGCACACTCTTGTGTAAGCTGCCAGAAATCTGAGGTGATTAGATGCAACAAATGTCTCTTAGGCTTTTTCAAAACTCCGTATGTTCATTCCGAACTTGTTCATCCGGGTTTGGTAGGACTTTTAAAAAATTCAGATGGATACTTTTATCTTTAAACATTCACGGACCGTTTCTCACAATGGACCAGAA